CATGAATACACATTGCACATTACACAATATGTATACTCAACAGCTGCCTTCATTTTCGTAGAGGCTATCATAATGTTGTACCTACTATTCGTCTGTCCAGGATTCGTATTCTTTTGTCTAATCAAATTACAAATATAAAAAAAAATGTATAATATTAATAAAATAATGTATTTATATATTTTGTAGTAATATCGCAACATTATAGCGGTTTTAATTACAGCATATAATTTAAGTTCATCGGCAGATAACAGCATACCGTAAAATGGGGTGAATAGGAACGATTTTAGAGGTTATTTGATTATAAAAATGCCATTTGTTTAGATAGAGTTTTTCTGAAAAGTGTTTTGGATAGACTACATACTGACTCGTTATTGTAATGTAGAATTTTTAGTTTAGGACTGGTAGTTTTTTTTATATTTTTTTTCAAAAACGTGTTCCTATTTCCACGTTGATGGGGTGAACCGGAACATAGGTAAAGTTTTCCCACATTTTCTTATTCAGATCAACTGTAGGTAGATAGGAACACATTTTATTTTTTAAAAAAGGTTATAGAATATACCTACCTTATTAATTTCAAAAAAGTTTTTATAAAAATACCTACATAATTAATAAAAAACAAATTAAAACAAATTGCATGAGTTTTTATTTATTTAAACTTTATAAATATAATAACATATTAAATTAAAATAACTTGTAGTCTTCTCTTCTTTTTTTTAAATAACTTAATAAATAAGTCTGCACTTAGCCTACAGCAATTATATAGGTAGGTAACAGACATTTTAAATAAATGTGGTAGGTATTGAAATTTGTTAATATTTTCGAGTGTTCCTGTTCACCCCATTTATGACACAGATTAGTAGTATTGAACTTGGAAGCATATTTTCTACTCGAAAAATATTTTGAATTCCATTGTGATTGAACAAAATATTATTAATATACGTCTATTAACTTTTAATAATTGTAACAATTGATTACCTCAACTCCGTGTATGATTTTCTGGAGAAGTTTTTCGTGTACTTCAATTTCACAAAAAAAAAATGATTATGATAATAGCTTATCAGTGTTAACAAAATGGTACTACACCAAATGCGATATAGTCAATATCACCTAAATGTTGTTTGAAACAAAGTGCCGGTGTTATCATAAATATTTTTTAACTTTTGCAACAGTGTTATCAATTCGAAACAATTTTTTCTCATTTTGTTCCGATACGCCCCGTAGTTCCTATTCACCCCATTTTACGGTACCACGTTTGTCGAAAAATTGAACAACAATATAATGAACAATTTAAATATAAGCCGTGAAGTTATAACATCTTCAACCAAAAAATAAATGATATTAAATATATTGCTTTCCATTTAACATAAAAGAATTTAGCCATAAATCACTCACCTTTGATTCACCAACCCCGGCATCCCCAAGTATCTCTCTCACCGCTATATCGACATGCAGTAGAAGGTAATTTCTTCTACTATTCTATCACTTTGCCAGTGTGCCTCGACATCATAGGATATTTATGAGATAGGATTCTACAAAACTTTCACGACCGAAAACCGCTTCCGGCAACCAATCAGGCATTCTCCTACAGAAAGGTATCTGTGCACGAGAAAAGCCCATTTTTGTAATTTTATTATTATTATTATTATTATTATTTTATTTTCAGTTAATAATAATTAAGTGTATTTTTCATCAACAATCATTTATAGAATTGGTAGAAAGTACATTAGTTAGGTAGGTATACCATTTAACCACTCAGACCTCGATTTTAGAAAAAATACGATAGGTAGGCCGTAGGTAATGATTTGTGGAAAGGGTGGAAGGATAGCTACCTCGTTTAATTCATAGGCGGAAATTGGGAGGGCTTGAGGGGCTTAGCCCACTCAAAACGTACAAAAAGAAAAATTAGCCCCCTCAAAAATAATATAAGTAAAATATTAACTTTCAATTCAAATATTGTTGCAACGCAAATAAAAAAAAATTTTTGGAAAAAATATCTGGTAAGTTCGTATTTCTAATTCCATTACCAAAGCCCATAGCGTAATAAAATGTAAAGTATCACGACCAGTTTAATCTTTTGTTATAGTTCCACCACAGAATAATAATATAATATTATATTATGAAATTGTCAATTTAAAGAAAAGGTTTTCAACTGATAGGTAGTCTTCAAATGGCTGAAGCTGTAGACAACTTCATCAAATTAGATTTAAAAATAGTGAATTGTTTATTAATCATTATAAGGTAATTTTAGTTTAAAAACTTGCTATCAAAATTGAATATTACTGAATTAATAAATAATATGACCTGTGGGTTCAAAATAGAATTTTTATAATTTATTTATTTTATATATAGGTAGTACGTTATTCTTATTATAATATTATGCTATTACTGTATGAAAGATAATTGTTTATTGTCTAGGAGCTATTGATGTAAAAAATATAAGTGTTCACTCAGAAATGTGTGTTGTGAAAAACTATTAACATTTTTCAACTGACATTCTTATGCAAGTTTCACTCACTTTCCTCATAAATTCATCAACATGTGAACATAGTTTTTCAACAACGAGAAGAATAAAAACATGATTGAGGTCATCTATATTGCAAAATAGATTCAACAATTTAGCTATCATTAGTATAGAAAATTATATTTCCAAAACATTTGATAGATAAATCATACTGGATCCATTTGCAAAAAAAAATAGATAGAATAAATATTTTAATATAATAACTAGATAACAAGGTTGTTATTGCAAATTAATATTTAATAATTCTGTTTTTCTTTAAAATTTGTATAACTTATATTATCTTTTTGATATATTTAAAGTGAAAATTCAAGTATATGTACGAGTAAATATATAACACCTATAGTATGTTTAAAATAAATCATGCTTAGTTTTGCAAGGCGTGTTTACGGTAATATTATATTTTCAAGTGCTGAGAGTGGCTTTGATATGCAATAAAGTATTTTTAAATATTAGCCACCTCTAAAATTATGGCAAATTTCAGACTATGTCGTTTATACATTTTTATTTCTAAAGATGAGATCTAGAGTGGTGTATTACTATAGAGTAAACAAAATTCCATAAAATAAATTGAATCATATAGATAATTAAAAAAATATGATTTAAATAAAAAAAAAATGTATAAACTTAGTTGGTATGGTAACAAATGTACTAACGTAATTATAGTTTATATAGTTTATACAGTTTCTAGAGGGAATCTAAGTAGGCACTGTAACGAAAAATAGGTCAGAAAAAAATAATACATACCTACCTACTCAGACCAAAAACATATTAGGTATCTATATTAAAAGAGTTACCTATATAAGTAAAAGTCTTTTCTATCAAAAGTAAGTTAATCTCCAAATAAAAAGTACCCATGATGCATAGGTAGTTAAAACATCATATTATTTCATAATATTATACATATTATAATAAATATGAAATCGGAACTTTAGAATGTATGAAGAGTGCAGACATACAGTAGGTATACCTATACACATTGACCATATGGTTATATGTAGTGTATGAATATTTATTTTATAAAATGTACTATTACAAGAGTTGGTCTACCTTATAGTTTTGATTAAGGTATCTGGTTCAGTTGTCAATTTCTTTATATGGCTGTTTTTGAAGCCAACTATGTAAGTAACAAATTTGTAACAAAACTATGTTAATTCTTAGTTATGAGTAGGGTTCAGATATTCTGAATTTTGAACATCTCATAAAACTTATAATTGATATCTAATTAAAAACCATTCGATATGACACAAAGCAGTTATATTAAATTGTATTTTGCCTAAGTTTGTTGCACTGTTTTTAATTTTTTAGTTTTTTAACAAGTTATAATATATATCTCTTGTAAATTCTAAACATTTTAGGTAAATTTACTTAAATCAATGACAAATATGCAACATGTAGTTTACTAGTTTCTATTAATAGGATTTTGAATGAATAATACAATTTCTACTATGTAATAAATACTAAATAGGTAGGTAGGTAATAGACAATAGATAATTATTTGATTATTTTAAAATAAAGTCGTACTTTGATATTTTTACTTTTTAGGACATTTAGCAAAAAAAATTTATTATACCTACATTTCAAGCCTTGAAGGTCATAAACATCCTACCCGGCTATCGCTAATATAACCTTATTATACAACATTATTCAGTAACTCTTAACAGTTATACCGTCACCAATAACGATCACAACAATTATGTACATACAATAATTATTCATTATATTTTTTATTTATTTAAATGATAATCTTGTCTGGAAAAAATAAATTTATCAAAAAACTTTTATTTAACTTAAAATTAAATGTTATTTCTGAATATTAACTAAAATTAAAAACACATACACTCCCATATAATAATATATTTTAATATTTTACAAGAAATATTAAGTTATTTCTTAAAATGTGTACATAATAATATTGTAGTAAATTAAAAACTTTAATTTGTCTGTGGTAAACAATAACAAATGGTAAAGTTGGCTGCCTAATATAATATATTTACAACACATATAAAAAAATATAGTTAAAAATAATTTTTCTTATTAACGTTTTGAACAATTTGTAATACATTTATGATAACTGTTAAAACTGAATGGTTTTTAAGGCGTTCACACAGAATCCGGTAAAGAAATAGAAATATTACTAAATAAATACACAAAAGAAAATTTGAGCAATAATATAAAAAGTAATTACAAAAAAAAAATAAATCAAAAATATATATTATTTTCTTATTAGAGATATTCCGAGTACTCAGCAATTACTTGACAAGAACATTTTTTTCCCTATACTCAATACAGTTTTTTATACATTATTACTTGGTACTCAATTTTTAATAAATTATCTACTGGGAACATCTCTAAATTGTACTACTACTTTATTATCAAAAGTTAAAACATTGTATTGTAGTTTCATTCAGTCAATTATCAGTCATATACCCTGTTGGCTGTTGAATAAATAATACTATTAAAAAGTTACCCTTTTTTATAATCAACTCATGATATGTGATAATGAAAAATTATTTTTTGAAGTAGATGTTCGCATTATTTTGTCGGCTGGTGTTACACGATTTCTTGGACCTGGTTCAGGAGTATACGTAAAAGTCAATCCTGTAGCGTAGATAATGCCATCATTTCTTACTAATGACACTGGTACTTGCGTTAGCTGTTTCACCCATGACCAGTCTCTTCTAAATGAAGAGATATCTGGCACAACTGCAATCATACTCTCTTGGCAACGGAACATAGTTTCAGACTCAACATTTCCAAACCATACTTGTAGATGTGGTGTGAAATTTTCTCCACTCAGTTCTAACATGGCCACATCACCCCCACCATTAGTGTTAAGACCGTGCACTACTGGTACAGGTGTTATAGGTGAATTTACAGGTCCCATTCCTTCATAAAATTTGTATTCTGCTTTGTCTGTACTGATGATGGTCCAACAAGCTCCATCATTGATCATTTCTTTATTTGGCCCTTTTGGACATGGTGTGGCATTAAAATTTGTTATACGTTCTTGGGATAAACATAAATACATGTGATTAGTGTCTTTCATGTAAAACGCACATTTGTGCAATTGTGACACCGGATCATCGGCTTCTAGCAATGCTGTTTGTTTATCAACTTTCCTGATGACTAGTCGAGGTAAAGCCATCCCAGTAACACTGCACACTAATTTCACTGTACTACCATAGTGAATGTAACCATCTCGAACATTGAACATGTCACTTTCGCTTTCATCATCATCCAATAAGTAAATGATAAAAGCTCCCCACTGTGTTGAACTGGCATGGAAGGTTTCGTCTTCAACGTGTAAATATCGAGTGCTCACTGTTTGTGACCTAAGCCTATTGAACAATGCCACTTTTGTACCACTAGCAATACATAAATCAGCGTTTTTTAAGGATTGTTTTTTTTTTGAAGGTTTGGATATTACTTTGATTCGTTTGCTGTGGAAAGTTCCAATGTCATAGCCATTGTTGTAGAACATTCGTACCATAAGCATAAAGTGCTTGCGTTTGTCAGAATCGGATATAAATAATGTTTTAGCGGCACAATACTTTTTAATGTTATTGAGATCAAGTGGTTGCAAATCTTGATCCGCACTACCAATGCCAATAAACGCACTCATTTGAGAATTAGTTTCAGTCACTCCTTCCCTAAGCAGCTGTTGTTGACGTAACTTCCAACCTTCACCATGAAGATATACACATGGAGGTGGACAGAAAAAACGTTTTTCAGTACCATAAGACTTTTGGGCAACTTTGGCATGAAGAATGACTAAAACCAAGTCATTGCGATCAAGTAAATATCTTTCCATAGCATCTTTTGTCAGCTTCTTTTCAGGCCGAATCTGCGTGGTAAGTTCTAAACCATAATGATGAGGCATTGTCATGGAGAACAGATCCACTGTTGTAAATATAGGTAGTTCAAATTCTATTCATAAATCTGAAAAAAAAATTGAATACAAATCTGTGAAACATAATTTTACAATTATTATCATTAAAAGTCTCTAACATACAAAAGTAATACAGTTAGTTACCAAATATTTTAATATAAATTAAATAAAATAAAAAATATGATTCATAATCAATAAAATAAATGGGTTGTTAAAATTGTGAACAAATAAAATTGTTCAATATTACTTTTAATCAATCGTTTTCACAAAATACCTAAATAATATACATGCATTTTTAAAATTAAATCAGCATAATAAATTAACCGCATTTAATAATTTAAATAGCTTAAAAACATGCTTTAGTTTTTGAAACATATTCCCCTGTGGTTGCTGTTTACAACTCACCAATTATTTATTTACTCGAATTTATATTTTATAACCAGTTGGTATACAACAACATTAAACTATAAAAACTAAAAATTGCACGACGAATATATTTTTAAGCATAGGTATACATACCAACGAAATCAATTAGGTACTACAATCTTCATATCTCAATCGTTGACTCGAGCATCAAAGTAAAAGTATTCCATTCATATTTCATTAGCATGTAGAATATTGGAATGAAACGTTTCGAACAGGTGACAGCTTAGTGTTGGGTTTATTTGAATATTGTTCAGCAACCTAAAACGACACTGTCGATGAACTTTTTAGGCGAGTTTGGTATAAGTAAGAAAAGTATAAACAAATAACGAGTTCGTTAAATTCGTTGGAAAATATATACCTAAACGGTAAAAATAACACATGCAGACATACAGAAATAGTGTAATAAGTAATAACTAACTAGTTACTAATAAGTAATAAGTAGTTACTGACGACTGAGTGCGGATTGATTGATCAACAATATTGTTATCAGGAAGACTGAAGAGACACACAATCACAATATGATAACAACATACTAAAAAGAAATTATTATAGTCGAATTCGCGGTTTTTTTCCCAGGCCGATAGATAATATTATAATAATAATTTTAACAATTTATAACAAGAAATATTCTGAAAACTTCTTCAATATTCAATTCCTTCTTATAAAAAAATAATAAGTAAAATTAAGAAATATGTATTAACTGTATAGGTTAGGATAGGGTCAATTATGGAGATTGGAGATATGGCTGGATTGATCAATCCCACATAATGTGAAAAATTAGAATAGTGTGTAAAATGGCAAATCGAGTTAATCGTTGCGACTAATTGTCGGAAATAGAGTAGTTTATTTGTCCGAAAAATAGAGATTTTTAAATCATTATAGTAAATATATATTAATTGTATACAAAATTATTATATTATTTCCTCAAATAGGATTAAATCAGTTGATATAGTCGTCAAAGTTCTAGAACCATGGGCACCCGTTTCCTCGAGCGTAAATTAGGCAGTTAAAATGACCGTTCATCGAGGCATTCGTGTACGTATCCTTGTCCCAGGGGCAGCCGTTTTCTCGAGCGTAAACTAGGCAGTCCAAATGTCCACCTAACGCGGCTTCGCTGCACGTCTTCTCGTCCCAAGGGCAGCCGTTTTCCCGAGCGTAAACCAAACAGTCCAAATGTCCACCTGCCGCGGCTTCTCCGCACGTCCACTTGTCGTCCCGGGGGCAGCCGTTTTCCCGAGCGTAAACTAGGCAATCGAGGTGACCGTTCATCGCGGCATTCGTGCACGTACTATTGTCCCAGGGGCAGCCGTTTTCTCGAGCGTAAACTAGGCAGTCCAAATGTCCACCTAACGCGGCTTCGCTGCACGTCTTCTCATCCCAGGGGCAGCCGTTTTCCCAAATGTAAGCTAGGCAGTCCAAATGTCCACCAAACGCGGCTTTGCTGCACGTCCACTCGCCGTCCCAGGGGCAGCCGTTTTCTCGAGCGTAAACTAAGCAGTCGAGGTGATCGTTATAAGCGGCTATCCTGCACGTCGTCGTATCCCAGGCGCACCCGTTATCCGAGGCGTATCTTAGACACTCCAGAGTCCAGATTGCCCGATTTCGCAGTTATGTCGCACGCTGTATGTTCGCATTCTGGCACACTGTTCCAAGGGACGTCGACCTCGTGAGCAAGTTTCAGACAATCGATGTGCCCGTGCAACGCTGCTTTTTCACATATGTTTTCAAACCTCTGGTGTCTGGTCATTTATGGGGAATCGCGACCTGCTGAACATGGTCTGCCTATTGTTGGGCTCGTTTAGGTTTTTGTCGATTTTTAAAATTTCAAACAGCGATTCGCAACAATTTCGGATATCGACGTACGGTACTGCCAGCAAATCGTACTTGTTACGCTCGATCTCGTTACAAGCGTAGTACGCAGTTTTCAACAGAGTAGGTACTTCGTACATTTCCCCGGTTGCGTATTTACGGATGCTACTCGAGACTGGCCAATAGATCCCAAATTCAGTTAGGGTTCGTAAAACAAATTTATTTTACGGATACTACTCGAGTCTGGCCACTATGTAATATACCGCTAATCGCTATACTCAAATAAAGACTCATAAAGTTCAATATGAAAACTGGGATATCTCCCAATATGCGGTCTACCTCCGTTTTGTGTGCTACCATTGATTATATAATACACAGATAAGCAATGCCATAGGAATATTCGTTGACTAGAATTATAGTTGAATTTATTTTCACGAGATGTCGCTGTTGCATTTGTGACCACTATTAATTAATATATTGAATGATATCAATGGTATAACCCACGATTAAAGATAAGATGGTTACCCAACAAGCTATGATAAGGTGTAACTCATAATTTCTTTTAATCACAGAACTGAAGTATAGCGATCCAAGTGGTGAATTTAAGCAACTATCGTATATCGTAATAATTTCGTGGGGCGCGGAAAGTAATAAAATAATTTAAATAAACGATGTTCGTAATACCTTTACAATTTAATAATACCTAGTAATTTGCAAATAGATTTGATTCATTCTCTTTTTTTAAATTATATCTCATATAAAAAGTTGAATATGTACACATTTAAAAATAATTACAATATATATTTGTTAACATTATTAGTTAGAGCTACATACTTCAAGTACAATTTTAAAATTAAATTATCTTCTTTTTACTAACTATTAATTATGTAGCTACTAATTTGGACAATTTCTTTTTAGTTTTATTTTGTTTTTTGGACATCTGATTTTTAATGTATGTAAATTGTCTCATTCTCATAATAATAAATGTACTGCATATATCGGTAAGGATTTCTGTTTCATGAGTAGTACACGGAAAATTAATGTTAGAATGGGTGGATAAAAAATCTTCAAATGTGTTTTCAAAAACATGAATGGAGTCTGCGTGTTTTTTGAAACATTCTTCTAATTTTCTCAGCATCAAGAACAGGTTTTGATTCGGATGAGTTAAATAACCTCTAGACTTTAAATTTACTAAATCAGCTTCTGCTGAAGTACTACCACCAAAATTTTTCAAACCATTTATACAAATATTACATTTAGTTTGATTGATTAAACGCTTTGCTATATATCTGAAAATAAAAATTGTTATTAGTATAAGTATATTAACAATTTATTCTCATATTTATCTTGATACAAATTAATACCTACCCGGCTAAAAAATAAACAGTACAATCGAAAATTGTTGAATTTGAAAAATTATTTGCTTCTAACTCAAGAATGTCTTCTAACTCACTGCTACCTTCATTAACAATAATTTCTATTTTTTTTTTCAATTCTATTAGCTTTTGTTCTCTGGCTGATTGATTTAATGGATAATTTATTATGTTTTTTAAATCTGCTACTGTTATGTGATTATTCGTTTCTAATAGCAAAACACATATTTAATTAAATAAATTTGCAATACTTTTTAATAAGAGCTAGTACCTTCAAATATTGTACAGTTGCCAGATTTTGGTGGTTTTATAAGAGAGTGTACAGAAAGCATTCTATACAATTGCAGGAACGTTGGACAGGTCGGATGATCATTTGGACCACAAACTTGCCTTACAATGCCGAAAAATTTCTGAATATTATACCATACAAACACACAATATAATATAATTATATTTAATAAATATTTCTTAAATTAAAATTATTTTACTTCCAAATTATCCTGATTTAATTTGGCAGTCAAAACATAATCAAAACCACAGTCTTCTAATAAATATCTTGTTAAATCAATCGTAGATTGTAAAGTTATCCTCAATCCATCAGCTGTAGCTCTAGTTAAAAATTCATTTTCATGGATCAATTTGTTTTTTACATTTGATTCCCATTTTGATAACCATGATAATCCTTGTTTTAAAATCTACAGAGTAAAAATAAATTAAAATATTAAACATATAATAAGTATAATAAAGAACAATTTGAGACACAAACATTAAAAAAATAGGTAAAGATTTTAACACATTCCATCAAAAAAAAAAAATTATAAATGTTAAATATTATAAAGAAGAATTCCACAGTATTAAGTTATTTATAATTTTAAGCATGCAACACTAAAACACAGGCATTCACATATAAGAAACCTCTAAATCAAGACTATTCTTTCTTATTCCTTCTGCAGGAAATCGTCGGTTTAACGAATCAAAGATTTTATTCATCATCAGTGTAAATTTTACTGTCTCATCAGAATCTTCAAATCCTACATAATTTTTACTTTTATACAATTCAATACCTACAGCCACCGACGCACTGAACAGCTAAAATAAATAATTCAAGTAAAACAAAAATAGTTTTTATTTTGAACTTTAAAAAAAACAATTTTGTTTCATTTATAATTAATAAAAAAAATCCAACTTATTTTCTTTAGTTACCTGCACAGCATATTTAACTTTCATTTTGCTTAAACTATTTAAATCAAAATGTTGCTTGGTCAATTTTGGGCAAACCTTGGTCAGTGAATTTTCTTCAGTTTTATAAACTGAATAATAATGATTCCACTTTATGTAAGATTTTGATGGATGGATCTATAGTAAAAATGAAAATTAATTATATAAACA